CGGGTTCGGGCTGCAGGCCAAGGGCGGCCGCGGGGCCTCGGCGGGGTCCGGAGCCGCGGGGGGGCTGCTCGGAGGGGTCCCCACCTCGGTTCTGATGCCGACGTCGGGTTCGGGCGGAACCAAGACGTTTGTTCTTTTCCTCATGTTCAGGCTGGCGCTCGTGTTCTAAAAAGGTAACATAAAAATTACGTCGCTCTGCCATTTTATGTCACATAATTAAAATGAGTCGTTTCCATAAACTAAACCTTTATTAATATGCTAGAACCGCTCAGCGTGATGTGAAAAACTTACCCAAAAGAATGTGTACACATTTGAAACTGAAGCAAAAAATTTTCTTTTTTCAAAATGTTACCCATTCTTATAATTAGAATTTAAATCTATAAAAAGATGATTAGGCTTTTAAGAGTATAAACTAGAGTTATACTTGACTTTATTTTAAGGATTCACACTGACAGCAGTGCAACTCATTTGTTCAGTTTTATTGGAACGTGCTCTGTGACAGGCTGCACACATTTCGGTGGGCTTTGTGTATGTTTGCTTATGAACAGGAGGAGCTTTACTTACTCTTGGGCACGAGCTAACAATAATAATGACCATCATATGTGCATGCCATTCTTTAAAAACCCCAAATGCTTTCATTTCTAAGTCCCTGGAGTTTATTTCCATACTCTTATATAGGCAATCATAGGCAACATTATTCATCCAGAAATTCTTTTTTTTTTTTTAAAGATTTCTTTAAAAAATACCTTTTTATTGATTTTAGAGAGAGGAAGGGAGAGGGAGAGGGAGAGAGAGAGGGAAACATCAATGATGAGAGAGTCATTGATCGGCTGCCTCCTGCATGCCCCCCACTGGGGATGGAGCCCACCACCCGGGCCTGTGCCCTCACCGGGAATCAAACCCCGATCGCCTGGATACTAGGTGGATGCTCAACCCCTGAGCCACGCCAGCCAGGCACCCATATCCAGAAATTCTAATGCATTTTAGATACTTATCACAATTAATAAAAATAAATAAATAAAAGTAGATTTTAAATAGAATGTTGTATTAGACATATAAACAGCATCACCATGTCATTGCATAAATATCTGAGTTCAAATTACCTATAAAACGAACATGGAATTCAGTATTTTCCATCAAATTACACTATGTGTAGAACAAAGCTATATTTGAATGCAGATGCATAAAAAACATTAAAATTAATGCTCCTCGTATTTTGACAGGCATGATAAATAACTGCATAGCCAACTATAAACTGTCCACACTAATGAAGGAAAGCAATTACTCAAATGATTCCCCAAATAGTGTCGGTCCTTAGATAATAGTTTGATTTTTTTGCAAAAATGTTTGCTTCTTAATTATGTTTATTCTAAGTTATATTAAGGGTATATTGTAATTGCTTCCTATATACTCCTCCTCTGCCATTTTATGAAATAAATGATGGATGAGAAGATGGAGGAGTAGGGGAGAGACGGAGGGAGAACAGCTCATAAGTGTGTGATTAGAAGTCAGCCTACAAGAAATTTCAGATAACATTACATACAATTAACTGAGAATCCACCTTACAGAGAAATGCTTAGTCTACAAATATAATCTTTTTTCAACACCACACTCATCAAGCAGGTTGAGAGTGTTCAATCCATATCTTATATACTTGTGAATTATGACTTCAAGTTTTCTGAGAAAGAAAATAAGGCTCACAAATGAGGGCCATAGCGGGGTGAGAGGTTAGGAAGCGTCCCTCCTGTCCGCCCGCAGCACTCTTCTAAGCAGCTTGCGGTTGAACTGAGAAATTGTCACGTAACATATGGCGCCTAATTCCAGTGGAGACAATTTAAACCAACCAAAATTTACATCAACCTAAACGCTGAATTACTGTTATTTACCCTGAGCTTTTACTCTACAAAGCCCACTGTAAACATCACTCAGTTAATCCTCAGATTTTGAATCCCCTTTTTTACAGAAAAGCATAATTATTAATTGATTACCATTAACTCTAAAATGTAATATACATGGTGAAGAATATAAAGAAGTATAAGGTATATGCACAACATTTAAAAAGCTTACACTGTCCTTGGTAAGATAAAATGAGTACCCCCCCCCCACACACATGATACAATACAAAATATAACCAATAAACCAAGAAGAGAAGGAAAGAGAGTCATGAAGGACCAACTGGACAAGCAAGAGAGAAATACGCATTTTCAAATAAAATCTGATATTTGCACACTGCCTTTTTCCACCAAAAGTTAAGTCATCTTTAATTTTTAGAAATTTATTCCTAAGAATAAATTCTAAGAATTGAATACTTCCATTTCTGGCCACAATGGAGCAACAGAGACTGAATTTACTCTCCTGCATGAAATGACCGAGAAAACTGGACAAAGCCCCAGCCAGGTGGCTGAGTTGGTTGGAGTGTTGCCTCATACATAGAAAAGGTTGTGATTCGATTCCTGGTCAGGGCACATGCCTAGGATGTGGGTTAGATTCCCACTTGGGACACGCACGTATGGGCGGCAACTGGTCAATGTTTCTCTCTCTCTCTCTCTCTCTCTCTCTCTGTCAAATCAATGAACATATCTTTGGGTGGGGATTAAAAAAAGAAAAAAAAAGGATTCAAACTTAAAAAAACAAAAAGAAAACTGGACAAAATATGTGAAAACAAAACTGTTTTCTGAAAACACTGGGCACTAAATAACATAGAGCCATAATCACTGAAAGAGAAGAAACAGCCTTGAGAGAGTTTCCATGCTGTGGTGCAGGAAGGAAGAATCTGGGAAAAAGCTGGCACACTCTGGGAATTGAGGAGATGAAGCTGAGAATCTAGGGAAACCAATGTGGCTAGAGTTCAGAGGAAAAAGCAACAGAGAACGAAGTATACGCTGTAAAAAGAGAGAACCCCGAAAATGTGAAGAGCCCTGTTGAGTATTTTGCTAAGCACAGATCAGATCACGAGTGTGAAGTAACTACTGGAGGCCGCAGAAAAGCCCACCTGGAAGGACCAGAAGCAGGGCCTGGTGCACACAAAGCCGGGACAGCGCATGTTCCTTCCAGCCAGACTGAAAATTTCAACATTCATACAGCATTTGGTAGAGCACTCAGAAGGGCTTCGCCTCCGTAATATGAGTAACTAACCCCAAGCACTGACCCAGTCCTGCCTAATGAATCTTAAAACTAAGACCTAAAAGGATGAAACTAATTCTAAGTAACCTAACTGCACCCCACAAGAAATCACAGCACATTTATACGACCTCATCTTTTCCTCTAGATCAGTATCCTTTGGGAACCTCCTGAAATCCCAACTGTGAATTATGTTCTATATGGTTGATTGAATAAAATATGGCACAGGTTCGTCCTCTCTCTCCATATTTATGCTCCTTGTAATATGAGTTCCCCACTCCTCCCCATCAGGAGATGGAGTCTGTTTCCCTACAGACCTCTTTGGTCAACAGTATGTGGTAGAAGTGATGGTGTGTCATTTCCGAGTCTTAGCCTTAAAAGCCCTTGCTTGCTTCCACCTCAGAACACTGCCAGCAACACAAGAACCAACGTGGGCTAGCCTGATGGAGAAACCTTTTAGAGCAGAATCAGTCATCCTATTGAGTCTATCCTAGAAGCCAACAGCTAGCTGACCACTAGACGCGTGAGTTTGCCCCAGCTAAGAGACGATGAACTGCCAGCCAAGCCTAATCAAGATCAACAGAACTTTCTAATTCACTCATGGACTTGAGAGCAAAAATAAATCATTGTGTACTACTTAAGTTGTGTAGTTGCCTTTATGCAGCATTGTTGTGGCACTAGATAACATGTGTAGACCAGCTAAACCAAGGGTCCTATAGAAAGCACTCCCAAAGCTCTCAGGAGGAGAAGTTCCCCAGACATTCTGGGATAATTAGAAGGCTGGCCTGCCCAGAATTCATCGAAGATCATTAGGGGCTCCATTGCCTAATTCAACACACTAGTTAAAAGATCAAGGTACTTTTCCTTTCTAATGCCATTCTTTAAAAATAGCAATATTTAAAACTGGGAGAGTTTTTAGTGATCAACCTATTCCAGTTCCTTATGTACAGCGGGAAAAATAAGAGCAGAAAGGTCATAACTGGCTGGAAGTCATGCACTGAGCTACTTCACTGAGTGTTCTGCCATGATGCACAGCAACTTCATGCACCAATGTGGAGGAGGCATTAAAAAACTCAATAAACTACACTTATCCATTTGAGTCAGTCAAGTATTTGTAAGAGTCAATTATATTGTTAAAAATTATTCAACACTTGGACGTCAGAAATGAGTACAGCATGTTCTTTCAATGTCATAATGGAGCATTAATTAACAAGTCTGTGCAAGGATTATTAAGTCTCTAGAATTTACTTGAGTTTGATTTTGCCACTTAATATTGGAATTGAGTCCAAACACTATGAAGTTACATATTAACTCGTAGGTTACTGTCCAGAAGAAAAGGCCACCAAAAGTTATGATTGTGTTGCACTGTAGGATATTACAAGGCAGGCTTCTGTTTCTATCCTAGCCACCTCATTCTAATATTTCTTTTTTTTAAAAAAGGTTACTTGTAGCTATTACTCAAAAAGATTTTGAACCAGTTCTATTATTTAAGTGGTTCCCTTATTAATTAAAGAGTTGAATAAAACTTTGACTTATGTCCATTCCATTATGTTTTTGAAGATTTGAAAATTATATTCTGACAACATCTACAATTAAACATGTTATAAATATCAAATAAATGTAAGAAGAGACTTAAAGAAAATGCCTGGAGAGAAAAGTGACCCCAAGCCAAAGAGATGGGATCAGCCTATGGTGACTGAAAAAAAAGCATCAATGAAGCAAGAAAAAAATAAAGCATTTTTATGAAAATGGAGGGAGCAGTATGAGGTGTGTCACTAGGATTATGATTTGAAAACAAAGATCAAATCTTTTTACTTCTAGTTTAAGATTACCAGTGAACTTCTAGAGCATAGAGACAATCTTATTAATCATTGTAATCTAATGAACACAGCAGGCATCTACTTCATTTTAAAATAAATTTTAATGAAATGAATATAGTAGAGAATCAAGATTATTTTTAGAATTAAGAAAATTAAAGAGAAAATGTAAAAAACTTTCTATCTGACCTACAGATGACTAAATTCTTTGTTTATGGGGCAGATTTG